GGTGGCTGGGAGCAGCCACCGCACTCCAGTCTGGGCGACAGAGTGAGATTCCAACCAAAAAAAAAAAAAAGACAAAAGCAAACTGTTATAGATTTCCCCCAGTTTTTCAGATTCCATTTCCAGCCCTGGGATACACATTAGACACAACAGAGACCCTGCCCTGGTGATGTTTGTGTTCTATGCAGAGGAGATAGATGATAAGCATGGAAACAGATTAACACGTGGCATCGTTCCAGATGGTGACCCATACAATGGGAGAGTGGAAATGGGGTTATGATAGACAGTGACTTGTAGGGGTCGTCTGTAGATGTGGTCATCAGGGAAGGCCTCTCCAGGAGGTCTCATTTGAACCCTCCTGAAGGGACAGAGTGAGCCATGCAAATCTCTTGGGGGAGGGGCCAAGTGCAAAGGCCCCTGGGGCATGTGTATTTGTGAGAAGCCAGGATGGCCAGTGTATCAGGTGATTGTAGCCAAAGGTGGCTGGAGGCAAGGTCAGAGGGGTCGGCAGGGGCCAGTCACATAGCCCCTTAGAGGCCAGGATTTGGATTTTATCCTGAGTGTGCTAGGAAGAATTTGGAGCCTCTTGTCACCAGCACAGAACGGCCAGAGCACCTCAACTGTTGTTCTTCCTGTGACGGTTTATCTAGAACCTTCACGCCGGGCCCTCGCTGGTGCTGGGAAGTGAGGATGGACAGCAGTGTTGGGGCCCAGCCCTGTGGGCAGCGTCAGCTCCATCCTGCCCACCTGTACTGAGAAACTCCTCGGGTTCCCACACAATCCCCCTCCTCATATCGGATGGGATGGGCGAGCCTAACTTCCGAACTCATGGCTATAACTCTGAGAGTATTGCACTGAAAAGGACGGTAGGAACCAAGGGGGAAAAAAGTTGGATCCAGGCCTGGAATTCTCTTTTCCTTGGATTTTCTTAAAGTGTGATTAGTGCGATGAAAATGAGTGTTTTCATGGTTATAATCATTGTTTCTAGTGTTGACTGCTCAGGTTTAAATCCTGACCCAATACCTGTTATGCGAATCAAGTCACTTGACCTGTGTGTGCCCAAGTTGCCCCTTACCTAAAACAAGGGGAGATAGCTCTATCTCCCTCGTAAGATTGATGTGAGGATTAAATGAATTAATATAGATAGCCTGCTTACGCCTGGTACAGCAGAAAACACTCAGCAAGTATTAGCTATTATTACTACAAGCTATTGTTTTCCAGTCCAACCTACTTATTGAAGAGATGAGAAAAACTAGGCTGAGAGAAGGAGAGTGATTTGCCTAAGTCACACAGCAAGGTAGTGGCAGAATCAGGGTTAGAATTCAGATCTTTGCACACTGATAGCAATAAGATAAAAGAAAAAGAAATGGCCAGGCATGGTGGTTCACACCTGTAATCCCAGCTGAGGCAGGAGATTACTTGAGCCCAGGAGTTTGAGACCAGCTTGGACAACATCTCTATAAAAAATAAGCAGGGCATGGTGGCAGACATTTGTAGTTGCAGCTACTCAGGAGACTGAGGTAGAAGGGTCACTTGAGCCCAGGAAGGGTCACTTGAGCCCAGGAGGTGGAGGCTTCAGTGAGCTATGGTTGCACCACTATAGTCCAGCCTGGGTGATAGAATGGGACCCTGACTCAAAAAAAAGAAAAGAAAAGAAAACTCAGATCTTCTGAAATCACCCCATGAAGGAAGGTACATATCTCTCTGGACCCCTTGACTTAGGACTCCTGGAGACAATGTGATTAAGGCAATGTGAGAGGAAACTGAAATCGTACCCAGTCCTGTGGATCGGGTCACTGTGATAGTCCACTGCCCAAGAGCTTATGATTGAAGACAGAGGGCCATTGTTGTATTCCTTTTTCTCATTTATCACCTGTGGAGGGCCTGCTCTGTGCCTGCCATTCTGGCCCATGCCAGGTTGGAGGCATGGAGGCATATGCTAGAGTCTGGGTCTTCTTTCTCCAGGGATAAAAGGGGCAGGGATGGAAGAGCATGGCATAGTGTACCCTCAGTCCCTCTAATGAAGGCAGGAAACAAGAGAAAAACAAACAGTAAGTATGACAAGTAGAAAGCCCACAAAGGAGGTAGATTGTAGGATGAGAGCTGAAACCAGTTATATCAGAGATTATATTAAACGTAAATGGGTTAAATATCTCTAGTTAAAACACAAAGATGGCCAAAATGAATATTTTTTTTTTTTTGAGTTGGAGTCTCACTCTGTTGCCCAGACTGGAGTGCAGTGGCTGCTCCCGGCCACCGCAGCCTCAACCCACTGGGCTCCGGCGATCCTTCCGCCTCAGCCTTCCGAGTAGCCGGAATTAACAGGCGCACGCTACCATGCCCGGCTGATTTTTTTGATTTCTTGTAGAGATGAGGTCTCGCCAAATTGCGCAGGCAGGTCTCGAACCCGCTGGCTCAGGCAGTCCACTCACTTCAGCCTCCCAAAGTCGCGGGATTACAGGCTGAGCCACCGAGCCCGGCCAAACTGGATTTTAAAAGTTCAACTACAGGTTGTTTGTAAGAGACATCTGTTGTAAAGGTTGAAAGTAAGCTGGGTGTGGTGGCATGCGCCTGTGATCCCAACTACTTGAGAGACTGAGGTGGAAGAATCATGTGAGCCCAGCAGGTCGAGACTGCGGTGGCTGTGAGTGTGCCACTCTATTCCAGCCTGGGTGACAGAGACTCTGAACTCAAAAAAAAAAAGGTTGAAAGTAAAAGGCTGGGAAAAAATACATTATGTAAACATTAAACAAAAGAAAGCGGGTGCAGTTATATGAATGTAAGCAAAACAGACTAGAAGGTAAAAGCATTATTAGAGGGTTACTTCACAGTGGTAAAAAGTTCAATTTTCAGCTGGGCTTGGTGGCTCAGCCTGTAATCCCGCGCCTTTGGGAGGCTGAGGTGAGTGGATTGCCCAAGCCCGCGGGTTCGAGACCCACCTGGGCAGGCAAGACCTCATCTCTACAATAAAATCAAAAAATTAATCGGACATGGTAGCGCGCGCCTGTAATTCCGGCTACTTGGAAGGCTGAGGCGGAAGGATTGCTGGAGCCCAGTAGGTCGAGGCTGTGGTGGCCGGGAGCGGCCACTGCACTTTAGTTTGGGCGACAGAGTGAGACTCCAACTCAAAAAAAAAAAAAAAAAAAAAAAGTTCAATTCTCCTGAAGTGGCCCTGAGCGTGCCATTGCATTCCAGCCTGGGCACAGAGTGAGACTCTGACTCAAAAAAAAAAATTCAACTATCCAGGAAAATGTAATGATTTTCAATTTGTATACAAGTACTAATTCAGGTTCAAATGTTTTTTAAAAGTGGACAGAAATATGCCTAGAACAGGCAAAATCATAAAGAGAAAAAAAGTAGGTTAGTGGTAGCCAGGCACTGAGGGAGGAGGAGGGGGAATGACTGCTAAGGGGTTTGGATTTCTTTCTGGGGTGATGAAAATGTTCTGGAATTAGGTTGTGGCTATGGCTGCATAACCTTGTAAATATATTAAAACCCACTCAAGAGTCTATAGTCTCAGCTACTTGGAAGCTGAGACAGGAGGATTGCTTGAGCCTAGGAGTTTAAGACCAGCTTGGACTACATAGCAACACCCCCGTCTCAAAACAAAAAAAAAATTAAAGTTTTTTAAACCTCACTGAACTGTACACTTTTAAATAATTATTTTAAGAATTGATGGAAGTAAAGAGAGACATCTACTTATAATCATAGTGAAGATTTTTTTTTTTGAGTCAGAGTCTCACTCTGTCGCCCAGGCTGGAGTGCAGTGGCATGCTCACAGCCACTGCAGCCTCGACCTGCTGGGCTCAGACAATCCTTCTGCCTCAGTTTTCCAGGTAGCTGGAACTACAGCCATATGCCACCCTGTCCAGATAATTTTTTGATTTATTGTGGCGACAAGGTCTCACCAAGTTGTCCAGGCTGGTTTTGAACCCCTGGGCTCAGGCAATCTTCTTGCCTTGGCCTCCCCAAGTGCTGGGATTACAGGCGTGACCCACCACACCCAGCTCATAGTAGGCAATTTAAACTTGCCTCTCTTTTGTTTTTTTGAGTTGGAGTCTCACTCCATCGCCCAGACTGGAGTACAGTGGAATGCTCCCGGCCACCGCAGCCTCGACCTGCTGGGCTCCAGCGATCTTTCCGCCTCAGCCTTCCAGGTAGCTGGAACTACAGGCATGCGCTACCACGCCCAGCTAAT